TGAGAATCTGCTCCTGTCCTTGGAACAAAGGCAAGCTGTTGTGCTGGAAGTCAAAACAACTACAATTCTGCAGGAATCCAAAGTCTGTGTTGCTTTCTCTGCATTATTAGCAGCTTATATCAAGAGTGTGATAGGCTGCCATCTCTGCTATCACTGCTAGTCTAGGAGTGCGGGGGTGATAGGCAGACAGTTGAAAATGCCACAGTGCCCTCTTAGCACAATACAACAGCTTCTCTAAGACCTCCCTGCTTAAGTTTTTACTAATTGCTGTGAAAAGTTGATCTAGGCTGGTTTTGCCAGGTTGTTATTGCCAGAGAGCTGCTCGTACCATATCTGCTTTTGTCCAGAACAAAAGAATAAGATTTTTTTGTCATTGAAACTCTCGAGTACAACCTGATGTCGTGAAGTGGTAATGTCCTTTAAGCAAAAGACTGCTACACCTGGAATTACAGCTGATGATGGTAAAGAACTCAAATATCTTTTGGAGTAGATCTGCACAACCCTGCGTGTCCTCAGTAATCACAATAATCAGCTATTAGGAATAGACATTTGTCATTAGAATACTTGTTTAAATATCAGAAGTGAATCAAACTTTCTGAGAATCAGAGTACATTTATGTTCATTATTATAAAATCAAAGAAATACCAATAAAGTTCTCAGTAAACAGCAATAAGTTGATGGCATCTCACTCATACTGCAAGACTTTTCTTGGTATGCTGATTAGAAATGGAAACAAGTGTGCTAATAATGCTGTGACTTTGAATATTACAGATTTCTCTAGGTCCAGGAATGCAGTCTGAGATTTTTTTTTTCCTTTCCTTTTTTTTTTTTTTTTTTTTTTTTTTCCTAATTTTGTTGCAATCTGAGATTTTTAAGAGCTCTATTTATTATGGTAACACAGCAATTTCTTTGTATAAAATTCGTGAATCTACTTTTCTTCTTACATCTTTGAAATTCCCTCCCTCTCTCATTTTAGCAGCACCTGAAAAGAATTAATCTTTTTGGAAATGTACCAAAAGCTTGCCTAAAACTATACTAATTTTTAGTTTTCTGAAGTCTAGGAAGATGATAAAAAATAAATTTTCTTTCACTAAATTTGTAATGTTTTTGGCACCGTCTGTGTGGTTTTGTTTTTTGCTTTTCCTTGTGGTACTTTGTATGTAGTAAATGTTCAGTCTATACTAAACTGATACAGTTAAAAGCTACAGATAGCAGTAGCTTAGAATATGGAGTTATGTGGAACAAAAGTATGTTTGGGAAAGAAAATTCTTTTCTTTCAGTTTTTTTTCCCTGAAAATGTTTTGTGCCACAAAATTCACAAAGCATAATATCTTCCTCCCACTTCTTTGTTTTTTTACTTGTAATGGCACTTTTTAAAATTATTATTACAAGTTTTATAAACTAGCCAAAGGATAAAATAAAGGAGAAAAAGAAAAGTTGCTCAAATTTCCACAACATGTGTAGCTCTGTTGTTGAGTACCCGTGCAGCTGGCAAATTTATAATTGTCTGAGGAGATATACTTTTAGGTAACACATTCTATGCTAATAAAGTGGTTTACCAGGTATTGATTTATTTCCTCTCCACTACCCTTTACTAAAATAAAATCCACTGTTTTTCCTGTGACTTGACCATTTCTTGACATTTATTTTTCTAAATTTTTTTTTTTTTTTTTTTTTTTGAGACGGAGTTTCGCTCTTGTTACCCAGGCTGGAGTGCAATGGCGCAATCTCGGCTCACCACAACCTCCGCCTCCCGGGTTCAGGCAATTCTCCTGCCCCAGCCTCCTGAGTCGCTGGGATTACAGGCACACGCCACCATGCCCAGCTAATTTTTTGTATTTTTAGTAGAGACGGGGTTTCACCATGTTGACCAGGATGGTCTCGATCTCTTGACCTCGTGATCCACCCGCCTCGGCCTCCCAAAGTGCTGGGATTACAGGCCTGAGCCACCGCGCCCGGCCTAAATATTTTGTTTTTTGAGCCAGGGTATCACTCTGTTGCCCAGGCTGTAGTACAGTGGTATGATCTCGGCTCACTGCAGCCTCAACCTCCTGGGCTCAAGTGATCCTCCTGAGTAGCTGGGACTACAGGCATGCACCTCCATCCCTGGCTAATTTTTTTTATTTTTTGTAGAGAGGGGGTTTCGCGGTGGTGCCCAGGCTGGTCTTGAATTCCAGGGCTCAAGCAGTCCTCCTGCCTCGACGTCCCAAAGTACTGGGATTATAGGTGTGAGCCACCTCACTTGGCCAGTTTTCTATGTGTTTATGGAGACATAGAAATAAGCTTTATTGCTGATCAAGGATTAGTCATTTAAATACTTTATTATAAATGCTGATTGAAGGTGTTATAACAAACTGGAGGGATTATTTCATGATGTTATCTAGGAGGTAAATGTTTATACTGAAGAAATATTTAGGGAGTGTCAGAATTATTGAAAATAACTGAAAGAAAGACTAATGGACTGTTATTAAAGACTTAATATATTTTCTTTTAACCTGTAGGTTCTCTGTCCATCTCTTGCCTTGCCCTCTTTTTCTTTCTTTTCTTTCTCCTTACAGTTTATTTGTTGAAGAAACAGGTTGTTACTTCTGTTTTGTTTCCCATGGTATGAATTTTGCTGATTGCATCTTTATGTGTAGTTTAATGTGTTGTTTGGTCCTTCATGTTTCCTATAAATTGATAATTGACTCTAGAAGTTTGATCACATTCAGATTTTTTTTTTAGAATGGGGCTGGTGGTACACATAATTATTTCCATTTTCATGATGTTACCGGTCATTGATAATCATGCTGCAATCTGTTAGTTCATTATATGTTACAAAATGGTGATAGAATTGTATTATTTATTTATTAACTGTTCCTTTAAAAGTTTATATCATATATCTCTCTATGTGTTATATAAAGATTAATGTGCAGGAGTTTTGCTTTCAGTGAATGTTTGCATTCCAGTCATTACTTAGAAAGTTTTTTGTCCTTTTAGAGTTGCCTGCTGAAACATTAAAGTAAACATATAAGAATATTATGGTTTTACTGTACTCTTGAAAAGATTTAATGTCTAAACTAATTTAATAAAGAATCATTCCTTAACACTTGTTTTTTCTAAAGAATGTGTCAGAGTTGGAACTGTTGTTGGATTGAGACACTGTCAGGTTTTTTTATATGCTTTTGAGTTTATAGCCTTCACAGTCTATTTCAGTCTTTATTGCAATCAGCTAGGTAAAGTTCTGCATTAGGCTCCTAGTATTTATGTTCTCAGGCAAATTTTTTCTAAACCTCATGAAGTTGTTAGTGCCTTTTAGGAAACAAAACTTAAGTCTAACTTCTATCCCCTTTCAGAAGACTTTTCTACTAAAGAAAAGAACTTGAGTTTTGTGGTTGGTTTAAGAATAGTATATATGATATCTTTTATTTACTTTAAAGTATAATATTTTTTATAACAAGTAAAATACCACAAGATAAATGAAATGTGAAGACAGATTTTAAGATAAGCTCTTTCCTGTGAGTCAGTTTTCCCTGGAATATCCTGCCCTTGCAGCCACGGGGCAAGTTGATAAGTATTCTGCATGCCTTTAGTTCCCCAGCAGGTTGATGAGGAAATTCTGGAGGTCTGAACCCTAAATATAACCAGCTTTCTAGGTTTAATATTCAGCTTGTTTTATATAATAAACCCTTGACATCAAATATTAGTATCCAGATTTCTGGTTCTGATCCAAAGCCAATTTCTGGTTATGCATCCAGATTTCAGTGATGATAGTTTAGTATTTTACTTTACAATTCTACCAACTCTCCCCAACATACAGAAGGAGGAACAGGTATTGTTTTATGGATAAGGCAATTAAGGCTTAGAGAAATTTAGTAATTGTCACCCTGCTAATAAATTGCAGCAATAGAATTGGAATCCAGGTCTTTCTGATTCTAAGCCTTTGTTCTCTCTACCACAACAAATTGAAGAGAGGACAAGAAAAGAGGTCATGCAAGGAATCATTCTATTTTTCCAGTGAGAGATGATCAGGGACTGAAACAAGGCAATTGGAAACAGAAATAAGATTTAAGGGTTTCTCTTGACTTGATGGCAGATTATATGTGGAGAGTGAGGGAATAGAATTATTAAAGGTATGAGTTTCCTAGGTATGTCATTGAATGGTCATGGTGGGAAAAGAAGCAACTTAAAGAGGGATTCCCTTTTTTATTCCTTTCTTTGTGGGGTTTGTTTGTTTGTTTCTGAGACAGAGTCTCGCTTTGTCACCAGGCTGGAGTGCAGTGGCACAATCTCAGCTCACTGCAAGCTCTGCCTCCCAAGTTCAAGTGATTCTCCTGCCTCAGCCTTCCGAGTAGCTGGGACTGCAGGCATGTACCATCACACTCAGCCATTTTTTTTTTTTTTAAATAGAGACAGGGTTTCACCGTGTTGGCCGGGATGATTTTGATCTCTTGACCTCATGATCCACCCGCCTCGGCCTCCCAAAGTGCTGGGATTACAGGCGTGAGCCACTGCACCCATCCTCTGTGTGTTTTTATATGTTGATTGAGGTGTTTGTGGTATGTTTTGAAAAGATATCCAGTAGGCACTTAGAATTTCAGGTTACTACTCAGATTATTTGAAATCTGTTGTTAGAGAGTACAAGGGAGTTAAATAGGGACAGATACATTCCTTTTTTGAGACCGTGTCTCACTCTGTCGCCCAGGCTGAAATGCAGTGGCATGATCATAGCTCACTGCAACCTCCACCTTCTGGACTCACACCCACCTCAGCCTCCTCAGCTGCTGAAACCACAGACATGTGCAACCACACTTGGCTAGTTTTTTTAGAGACGGTGTTTCACTATGTTAGCCAGGCTGGTTTCAAACTCCTGGACTCAAGCGACAGGGACAGTTAAATTCTTAATTCATGTGTATTGAGTTAATCCTCTAACACCGTGGCACTTACCTAATGAAAATTATAAATTCATAGTTCTACTAAGGGACTGTCCTGAGGCTTATAGCCCCAAAAATTCCTTTTGAATACTTACATAGCATTATGGGCACATAGTGAAAAAGGTAGTTTTCGCAGGGCACAGTTTGTCCATTGCATTGAATGTACTGACCTCCTTGATGTGTCTAAATGTGGAAAATTTGATTGCATAATTTATGGTATTGGGGGACTGCTTTCAGGTAGTTCCCTGGGAGGGGAGGGGAGTTCCCTCTATGATAGCCCCGTTTAGAGTAGTTTTTCTGCCTATCTATGTATATTGCTGTGTTTTTCCTCCTTTAGTAAAGATGGATTAGAGGGGGGAAAGAAACCACATTCTTGAAAGCATTTTGATTTATTAATGATTTAATGTTGAGGTTGCACAAAATATTCAATAAAGAAACAGTATTTAAAAGCCAGTGTGTTGAAAGAAAGGAATTCATATGTGCAGTTAATGGTCCAGTGATATGGCAGTGACTTATGCATATGCCCTTACTCAGTTTCTGCTCTGTGAAAGGTTTGAACAAATAGTAACATTGGCAAGATGACTGTTAGCTACAAGCCAAGAAATTCTATTGAAACAACAAATTATAATGTAGTTACCTTAATTGGTATGTGTTTCATTTTTTAAAGCAGAAAATTACAGCTCTTTTTTTGTTTTTCATTAAAAACTGAATTACATACTTTCGATTAAAGCAGCGTTTTTACTTACTGCTGCCTGTTATCATATACCTTATGATGAACCACAAGTGTCATAATACTAAAGAGCAACAAAGTTGTTTTTTCATTTTCTTTACATGGTAATTATATAAACAATTTTAAAACCTTGGGAGGTATTCCCTCATTTTACATTTAAAGGTTTGACTCCCAAAATTATGTGTTATCTGTGCGTTTGGAGGGCAGGAGGAAGGAGACTCTGATCCAAAAAAGATTTAGAGCCACTGTATCAGACAATTGGCAGATAGTCACATAACTAAGTCTTGAGGGAACCTAAACCAAGACCCAGTTTTTCTAAATGTTTGTTATTGTCTAAACCTACTGTGTCATGTATAGTAAGCACTCAATAAATATGACTGACTAGACCCAGCCACCAGGTCTTAAGAGAGATAGAGCGAATTCTTCAGAAAGCTCTGATTCCTGCCATGCGCCTAAGTGGTTATTATGCTGGTAGTCCTGATTTTTTATTTCTAGTATTATCTTTGTTATTCCTCTATACAAAATCAGTATGGCTCTTCTACCTGCTTTTCCTCAAGCTTGTTTCTAACATTCCAGTATTCATTCCTTTGCCCACAACATTTATCCCTTTGCTCTCAGAATCGTGCCCATTCAAGACTCAATTAGCTTCAGAAAGTGATACTCACAGGTATGTCAATTTTCCCTGGTTTTGATTATCTCGCTGAATTTTAAATTTAAGCGAGAAAGAAAAAGTATATTTTCTAGTGCTTAACCATTAGGCCTTGAACTTAGAATATACTTGTTGTCTAAGTCCCTAAATGTAAATTTAGTTTAACTCTTTGTCTCTCATTAAGTAATAAAAATTATTTCACCTATAGTACTTGGCACTGTGTAATAAGTCATGGGAGCTAGAAAAATATAGTCTCAGCCTTTGTGCAGTCTAGAGTGATTTTATTGGTAATTAATTACATGGCAAAACATTTCAGCGAGTTTGTTAGACAATTTGGGTGTCAAATTATGGAAAGAGCTTCAAGTTCTTAGCCTCATAGGAGTGAAAGTAAAAGTTAAATGTTGGTAGTTTCAACTACAAATTGTAGAATAACTTCAAAAACCTCTTTATCACCATATTTAATATCACTATAAATTTTATTTTTATTTCATTGGAATGTTACTCATTGAAGAAAAGTTGTCCTATAATAATAGGCATTGATTTAGACCTATAATAATTGTTCATTTTTAAATGCTGTCTAATTGTAAAGTTGGAATAGACTTACAGAACTTCTAGTCCCATTCTTCCTCTTTTCAGATGAGGAAAGGATCCTGGAATGTTTGGTTAATTGAACATTGTCTAAATTGGCCCAACTATTTAGAGACAGAACAGGAACTAGAATATGAGTTTTAGACTTCATAGTTTCTTCTTATATAACTTATTGTTATTTTTCTCAGTATATATTAACTGATAGCATATATGTTATTACTGTATTTTCAGTTATTTGCTCATCTGGTTTTTGTTATTCCTGAAAAATAGTCAAGAAAAATCTATCTCTAATTATAAAGGAAAAAACCTAAGTGATTTGCCTAATGTCACATAACTAACAAATTAGCAAAACTAGAACTAGAACCCAGATCTTCCATTTTCTAGTACATTGCTTTTTTAACACTATACTGTTTTTCCGTATTGTTTCTAATAATACTAGTGACGATTAGTATTTTTTCCAAATTATTCATACAAGGAGGTTTAGGCAAACTGAGAACATTTTCAAGAAAGAATGATGGACTCTATCGTAGGGAAAAATAATCTAACCTTCCCTTCTGCAAAATTTCACTTTAACAGATACAGTTTTCATAAACTTCATTCTATTCCATTTGAAATTTGAATTTACCGCTTTCCAGAGTTTGAAACGAAAGGGCACTTCCAACATAGAATTATAGGTTTGAGTTGGTTTGTGGTAATAACTGCTTTCATTCATAACAGGATAGTCTTTTTTTAAATGCCTTTTTAATAAATAAATGTTTTAATTAAATGTCTGAAAAACCTAAAATGTCAACTAATTAAATGCAAATCAGCTTCTATACAGTTATATGTAAGTCATATTTAGTGCGGGATTTCAGTTCACTTATTATTTTTAAAAGACAGTAGGGTAGGACCTCTGAACTCAGTGCCTAGGCCCTAGGGACTGTGAAGGTCTTGAAACAGCCTTTCTGGAGAAGTTGGAAATTTGGGTTTTGATGTGAAATATTCCCAATGTTTTAATGTGAAATATACCCAATGTTGACAACTTATTTTGAATTTTTTTTAAGTATGTAGGCCAAATAAATTCTGCTACAGGCAGGATTGTCCTTGAGCCAATAGAGTATGAATTTTACTTTATTGGTTTGAATTACTGAAATCGCTTTTTGCTGGTTTTTCCACCTGCATGCTTTTAACCTGTCTTGTTCACAGGTATCTCCTTAATCTTTCTAAATCATCATTCCATTTATCTGCAAAATAAAATATAAATTGCTAAACCTGACAGTCAAGACACTATCACTTTGCTCTTAATTGCCTTTCCACTTTTATTTTCTATTACATGTGCTACAGAGACACTGACTGTATTCAAATTAGACAAGCCAGGTGAATTCCAATCTCTAGACCTTTGTGGACTTGCCTTCTTTACCCTAATGCCTATATTCTTCTTCGTCATTTGTCCAGTTCTTCCAATACATTGAAACTCACTTGATGTCTGCATTCTCTATGAATTCGTCTCCTGACCACTGTTACCTCTTTCTGTGGTAATTTTTGTCCTTAGCATTTATTTGGTATTTAGTAGGTAGTTTATGCCACTTTGCCATTTTAATACATATTTCTTTTTTCTTTCCTTTTTTTTTTTTTTTGAGATGGAGTTTTGCTCTTGTTACCCAGGCTGGAGTGCAGTGGTGCAATGTCGGCTCACTGCAACCTCCACCTCCCACGTTCAAGTGATTCTCCCGCCTCAGCCTCCTGAGTAGCTGAGATTACAGGCATGCACCACCACGCCCAGCTAATTTTTGTATTTTTAGTAGAGAGGGGGTTTCATCATGTTGGCCCGCTGGTCTTAAACCCCTGACCTCAAGTGATCTGCCCCACCTCGGTCTCCCAAAGTGCTAGGATTACAGATGTGAGCCACCACGCCCACCTTTAATGCACATTCTGTGTGTGTTGGTTTTGTCTCAGTAAATGCTTGATGACAGTGAAAAATCTAGAACTGTATATGCTGCTTCGAAGTCTAGCAAAGAGCCTAGTTTCTTTTTTCTTCCTTTTTAAATTTCAACTTTTATCTTAGATTCAGGGGATACATGTACAGGTTTGTTACATGGGTATATGGTGTAATGCTCAAGTTTGTGGGACAATTGATACCGTCACCCAAGCATTAAGCATAGTACCCAATAGTTTTTCAACCCAGGCACCCTTCCCTCCCCCCTCCAGTTCCCAGTGTTTTTTGTTGCCTTCTTTATATCCATGAATACCTAGTGTTTAGCTCTCACTTACAAGTGAGAACATGCAGTATTTGGTTTTCTGTTCCTGCCTTAATTCACTTAGGATAATGGCCTCCAGCTGCATCCATGTTGCTACAAAAAAACATGATTTCATTCTTTATGGCTGCAAAAAAAAAATCTTTTTAAAGTAATACTGGGGGATTTAAATCTTTCATGTAACTTAGGGAATATCCAGTAGTCTTTATAAATGAACTTTGTCTTCTGGAACAAAATGCAAAGTGACCAAGAAATAGCAAAATAGATGTAGAGCAGTGTGCTGCCCCCCACATGGCCGTCCCCTGCTATGGAGGAGGCACCGGAGAATAACTGGAATCCAGACCTGTTGTTGAGGACTCACTTGTACTCAGAGAGGAGTCCTTTTTCTGTACATGTATTCTCTGAATATTGAAGATCAGATTTCTTCTGTCAATAATTAGAACTCTGTGAAAGATTTTTAATTCTGCAATTTATGTTTTAAATGCTCATTGTTTCCTGTAACTTTTTCAAAAACAATAACTTGTTTAAAACTCTTCTGTCTTAACTTAAAATATGTTACCTATAACACTGGCTTCACTTTCTGTTTTTTATCAGGACCCCTGAACAGTGCCCAAGTGTTGTCTCTTTGTTGTCAGAGAGTTACAACCCTCATGTGCGCTATGGAGCTGCAATGGCCTTGGGGATCTGCTGTGCTGGTACAGGAAACAAGGTAAAGCCCAAAGCCAATGGGGTCAGTTCTTTCTTGGCGCCAGACTGTTTTTCCTCGCCGAAGAGTTTATGTAACAACTATAAAAATACAAGTGCAGTATGATCTGTAAGACTGAACGTGCCATACAAAGCTTCCCAGTACTCCCTCATTCTGCAATGCTGGATTGCCCAAAGCTGCTTAAGAATAAATCATCAGATTACATGGATAGCTGTAGCTGAAACAATGCTTTTGAGTTTTTTTTTAAAATCATTGATTTCTGGGGGGTTTTTTTATTGTTGTTTTTAAGGTGGAGTTTTGCTCTTGTCACACAGGTTGGAGTGCAGTGGTGCAGTCTCACC